TTAGTTAAAATCACCCCAGAATGACTTCAAAATGACTTGGCCTTCCTGCAAGAAGGTTGACTTCCTGTCCACTGTGGACCTGCTTTCACATCCCAGCCTTTAACCTGGAAATACCTTTGTTCTTGGATGTCTCCCTAGAATGTTAGCTCCACACCCAACAGACCTTTGTTTTTTAAATTCCCTCCTAGAACACATTTCGAACAATGCCCAGCACAGAGTTGGTAAGCTCTATACATATTGTTGGTACATAATGAAGATCAGTCTCACTGTGTGATCATTGGTGTACGTGGAGACACCACAAACTCAATCTGTCTTTTGAGAAGTCCCAACGAATTGGAGAAGACAGTCAAGGCAGTGTGGGAGAGAGGCTGAGAACTCAGACTTTGGGCCAGGCTGCCTGAGTGTCAGATTCCCCTTCTACCACTTAACTTGTATAACCTTGACAAGTCACTGTGCCTCAGTGTCCTTGGATGTAAAATGTGGGTAACAGTACTACTGTCTCATAGGGTTGTGGTGAGGATTGGATGCATAAATCAGGTAAAGCAAGAATGAATGCCTGCAAACAGCAAGCGCTGTACACATACGAGTTTGCTAATACTGTTGCTACTACTACTATTACACTGATTATTTTTATTCTTTGAATTTATTTCTGTTTCCTTAACAAGTCTAAACGTGCTGGGTGGGTGTGATTTCATCCCTGTCGTACCTCAAGTATTCTTTAGTGTATTCTTTTCTTTCCTGTTTAGGCTCCCAAGAAACATTTGCAAAACGGGATTATCCGTGGCTACCAGATAGGTTACCGCGAGTACAGCACTGGGGGCAACTTCCAATTCAACATTATCAGTATTGACACCACCGGGGACAGTGAGATTTACACCCTGGACAACCTAAATAAGTTCACCCAGTATGGCCTGGTGGTGCAGGCCTGCAACCGGGCCGGAACGGGACCTTCTTCTCAGGAAATCATCACCACTACCCTTGAGGATGGTAGGTTTGGGGGACCACAGCTTGTAGCGTTCCTCCAGGACTGTTTCTGGTCAACACGCCGGGTCCCCTCAGCCTGGCTCTCTGGCTGGCTTGGTGGTGACAAAGGTAACAGGGTCTGCAGGGACTGGGGTCTCTGGTGGGAAGACTGCCCTAATTAACTCACGGACCACATGACAGATTGGGTCCCCCCCTTGACAGACCTTGATTGCAAAGCCAAAATCCATTCTGGTTTCAGAATCTTCCTCATTTATTTCCAGCATCACAATCGGGCTTCTCCCAAGTGAAATCAAGACTTAACCGATTACTGCAGAAGTCTGAGTAGAATGTAGAAATCCGATTTTCTAAGAATTTCTACCAAATCAATGTTAAGAAGGGTTTCTTTCTTTTTTCCTTTCCTGGTTTTTTTTTTTTTTTTTTAATGATTGCTTTATAGTTTCAAGCCTTTTGAGACCAGAGAAAACATGAATTATCAGACTTCCTTGGGCAAATCTTATAGTGATTGAGTGCCCCCTAGTGACCGTAGGGGATTAAATCACCCTTCTTCTATGACACCCTGAAGGTGAACTAAAGAGATTTAATTTCCAGTATTACTTGGAAAAAAAGAGGGAATGCTGGTGTCCGGAGGCACAATCTTTTAGGCGCAGAGATAAGACATGACATTAACTGTAGCAATAGGTAGTAGGCTTTAAGGCAACAAGTGGCAATTAGCCACTTGATCATAGGTTTGAGGAGGCAAATTATGACTTATATCTACAATTTCAGAGCCCTGGTGGCACTGTGGTTAGGCGTTCGACTGCTCACTAGAAGGTCAGCAGTTCGAATCTACCAGCCACTCCTTGGAAACCTTATAGGCAGTTCTACTCTGTCCTATAGAGTCACTGTGAGTCGGAATCGACTCAATGGCAATGGGTTTTGTTTTTGTTTTGTATCTACAATTTCTGGTCATTGCTACAGAAAGAGAAGTCTTAGATAACCAGAAACCCAAAGACTGGAATTTTCTTTTTATCTTGCAATCTTTGCAATAGTGGTTAAATGCCTTTTGTGTTTGCTTCTGTGCTCCTTTGTAATTAAGTTGCATGCTTCAGTGAGCAGCTTGGACCTGTACCCTCTCCTAGCCACAGTGGTTAATGTTTGCGTAAACTCACTATTAAAAATACGTCAAAGAGCCTTCGAACTTGTCTCCTAGTCCATCGTTTCTCTTTCTGCTGATAAAATATTTTTAGTCTTGAAAGGGAGGATGATGGGAAGGGGGCAGTAAATGAGCTATAATTACATGTCTACCTTTGAGAAATTTTCAGTAGTTAGGCTGTTTATATGGCAGATATTACTAAATATGATGATGATGGACTGTATATAGTAAAATGTACCTTAAAAGAGTAACTTGCAAGAGTAATCAGAAAATAAACCAGACAAGTAATGGTCTTTTACTCATGCAATCAGATCAGAATGTATTCAACTTCTTAAGTCTGGGACAACCTACTGGAAAGTAAAGCCATTAAGCTGGCGAGAGAGGCTGTGGAAGTCCATTAGAACCTGAGCACAAACTCATGATATATGTTGAGCTTATAAATATTTGTATAGGGAAGTGGCACTTGTTTTTTGTTTGTTTTGTTTTTCCTTTATTTTGGGGATTGAATGCAAATTTTTGTGTTGCTTGCCAATTGAAGTATTAAACTATGTTGTGTATGCAGTATTGCTTTCTAATAAAACAACCGACAGTTTTTACAGATTCTAATTATTTAATTTCAGTGCCCAGTTACCCCCCTGAAAATGTCCAAGCCATAGCAACATCACCAGAAAGCGTATCAATATCCTGGTCTACACTTTCCAAAGAAGCCTTGAATGGAATTCTTCAGGGGTTCAGAGTCATTTACTGGGCCAACCTCATGGACGGAGGTAAGAGGACTTAACTAGGGCTTTGTGTTTGTCCCCAAGGATATGCAGTGGAATTTGCAGACGCCATTCCTTCCATAGGACTCAGGATGTGGCTGGCACATCTTTCTCAGTAAACATTACCCTCTTTTCCCTACAGTATTTCTTCTCATCCCTCACCTGGCATTTTTACTAATATATTTTTTGTTGTTGTTGTTTGCTGCCGTTGAGTCGGCCCCTGACTCATGGTGGCCCATGTATATCATAGTACAACAGTGCTCCATAGGCTTTTCAATGGCTGATTTTTCAGAAGATCGCCAGAACTTTTTTCCAACACATCTCTGGGTGGACTCAAACCTCCAACCTTTCAGTTAACAGCAAGCACATTAACTACTTGTACCACCCAGTAATAACATATATAAGCTGTTTAAAACATCCTATGCCTTCAAAAAAACAATTTGGGGCATAGGAGAGGGGTGGTACTTGGGAAAACTTGGACTAGATGTGTTTTCCTAATTGTGAGGGTCTACCCACGTCAAGGCATCTCATCCAAGTGCTGCAGGCAGCATGAAACCTTGATCTGTATCTACAAAGTTTTATGTGTTGTGCATGCTAAAAAATTGTCCTCTTCTATTTCCCAAAAAGAATTCAGCAGGGAAACTTCTTAAGTTCCTATAGTTGGACTACAAGGTTAAGGGGTTCAGGACCAATACCAGAACTCCCTGGGAAAGAATAGTAGTATTCCCCATGAGGACCCATTGGCTCCAGAATTTTCCATTTTTTATTCCTTCTTGTTATCCTCTTTCTCCTCCTTCTTTTCCTTTTATTCCTCCTCTTTTCTCTTCTCCTCCTTCTCTTTATTATTTTTCTTGTTTCTTTGTTGATATTGTTGTTTTCTTTCAAATCGTAGGACAAAATTCTCCCCTTTGTTTGGGCAAGCCTTGGATAAGAGAATACCTGCTCAAATGCCAGCAAGACTGGGTTATGCAAAAGACATCGTGGTCTTTTTGCTTTCAGGTTGTGAATGTTGGCTAAACCCTCTCCTGGAACATGGTAGAGGCACCCCTGGACAGAAGGATGAGGTGTAGGAGGAGGCTAGGAAACCGAAAGCAGGGAAGGATGCTGGTGGGGCTGACTTTGGGAGGCCTGTCCTGCTAGGGGCCGTTGTAGCAACAGCAACAAATATATCATTTAAAACTGTTGTTGTTATAGCAAGTCTGTGAATAAGGGAAGGAAGAAGCATTTGCAAAAATAAATGCAATTTGCTAAGTAAATAGTGATGTTAGATAGAGCCTTAGCTATTCATGTGTGTAGCCAGACTTGCTTCTCCGGCAGGAGGACCAGATCTTCTTGATTTGAGTCCAGTCCTTCACATGGCGCTTGGCACTGGGAAACGCACTGTAAATATCCACCCACTACTCTCCCAACAGACATGCTAATTGAGCAATTACTCTGTGCTAAGATTATACTAGACGTTGTGAATGTGGTATCCACTCTGATGGAGATTTTAGACTAGGGAGGGTGAGAGAATCTAATACATATATAACCACAAATGTGAAATTAGGGCCACAACCCTGTTGTGCATCCCCATAGAGGGACAGGTTGAGGTAGATGATTATTTAACAACTTCACATCCCTCCTAAAAAAAAAACAGGTTTTTAAAAACCCACAGATATATAGAGCAATGAAGATTTGAAAAAGTAATCTAGTTCACTGATAAAATACTGTGAGATATCATTGCGTTTATTTGTTCTGGTTTCTATTTCTCATCTTGAATAAACTGAAATTAACTTTTCTAACACACTCACCTAAGGCAGTCTTACATTAAAAGAAGGCCTTTTAATGTACATGTTAGAAATATTTCCAGACTCCAGAAGTGATTATTTATCAGTATCATCCATATTTTTTTACAAATCACTCACATTGGCTAATATTGCCTATTAGCATCCTGGTTCTGAGGTGGCTGAAGCTTTACATCTTCAAAGCTTTAAACACCTGAAGATTGCAAAAATTAAGTTCTTTTTTTAAATACAAATGCTTGAAAATTCATACAGTTCTTAAAGATATTTTACTCAGGCTCAATGTGATTTGATTAATTAATCACCCATTAAATAAAAGATTAAGTTCTATACTTGGTTTCCCAAAGATAAGAAACTCTCAGAAACATAAACCTTCTTATGATTCCTATCCGTTACTTGAGCAAGTCAACCACTATGAATTAACAGGTAATTTCATGTGATTGCTGAATGCAAAAGGCCCCCGTGAGTCACCACAGGCAAAGCCTCAGGCTGTGTCCCAGGGTTTGGTGGGTACAGGTTTCACGTGATCCCAAGAGTGAAGGTGTAGCAACTGTGTAAAGAACTATCCTGCTAAATGTTGAGAAAGCATCTCTCTCTCTCTCTCTCTCTCTCTCTCTCTCACACTGACACACACACACACACACATAAACACACACACTCAGACATATATACACTCATGGAAGCAGGAAGAGACCAAGATCGTTACTACTCCCTGGATTAGCCGCGGCCCAAATACATTCAGAAATATGTATCAGAATGCATTTTGTAATTGTCGATGTGATCAGATACAGTGAAACTGGCTAATGTATTTTATAGGGCAGATTCAATTAAAAAAAATATTTTGGAGAAATTTCTGAATATTTTGTCACAGTCAGAAAGTTATTTTTAAGACCCATTCAGAAACATCTCATCTGAAATTGTTAGAAAAAGTGTACACTTTGAAAGGTCACCATTTCCATCTGCATCTGAGGTACTTCTCATCGCTTTTTTTTTTTTCTTTCTCTGAGACAAAAACAAAAAAAGAGAAGCCATATTTAGGTGTCAACTGGCTATGTGAGCATGTGTGTGGCCATGGTGAATGCAGTCAGGGGCTGCTTCCGAAAAGTTAATTCCACCTACATTTTGTTTTCTGCCACAAAACCCTTTGAGAATGAGGTGGAGTATGAATAAGAACATAAAAAATATTTTGTTTTAAAAGCTTTCTTTTTATAATCGAAAGAATATGACTTTGAAATTAATCTCATGTTTCCATTTCATTTAATTTTACTCATGACCTCAAATGAGCACTATTCTTTAGTTCCTGTATTTTTTTTAATAACACTCTTAAGGCTGTAGATCCCTGGGTGGCACAAACAGTTTGTGCTCAGCTATAACCTAAAGGTTAGCGGTTCAAGCCCACCCAATGCCACCATAGAAGAAAGCCTGGTGTTCTGCTTCCATAAAGATTACAGCCAAGAAAACCCTATAGAGCACAGTTCTACTCTGTCACACACAGGGCTGCCACGAGTTGGGATCAACTGGACGGCAACTGGTTTGGTGAAGGCTGTGAAAGGCAGATGATAGAAATTGGGTTGAGGCCATTAAAACAGAGTGAGAGCTAGAAGGAATGGCACAGGAAGCATATTGTCTTGTATTTGTTTTGTTTTTTTTTTTCATCATTTTGCTTTGTTTTATCCATGCATTCATATGCTTTGCATTTCAACCAAGTATTTGCTAATCAGAAAATATCCTTCCATCAGGGAGAATGAGATTTTTGTGTTGAAAAAGTGATTCTGTTGCTCAGATAGTTTCAGAAATCTTTGCAATCGTATTTATGGTTAATAACAAGCTAGTTCACCAAAGCTGTCAATACTACTATTCGTGCTTTCAAGTTGATTCTGACTCATAGTGACCCTATAGGACAGAACAGAGCTGTCCCATAGGGTTTCCACGAAGTGGCTGGTGGATTCGAACTGCCGACCTTTTGGTTAGCAGCTGAGCTCTTAACCACTCTGCCACCGGGGCTCCAAGTTGTTAGTATGAACCCCAAAATGAGTAACTCTCAAATATATATATTTTTTAATTTTATAGTACTTCATTAGGGGAGTTAATTCTTTTAATTGGTACATTCCTGGAAAATATCAAGGTGTACCATATTGCCCCTCTGCCTCTTAACCACCCTGTTCCTCATCACATGTCTTATGAGTGGGCAGCACCGCTGAATTGACATGACTTCCTCCCACATTTTGATACTAGCTTGTATTTTCTTTACAAGGTAGAGGCCCCTGGGCCCCTCTTAAAGATGAAAAAACAGAGACCCCCGAGAGGTCAAAACAGTCAAGTTCTTATAACTAGCTCCTGGCAGACGGCCCCTGTATACTCCCCACTTTCTTGTATTTTCCCTGATTGTGTGTGCCTGTGTGTGCTCTTGTGTGCAAATACGTGCATGCTGTATGTATGTGCATGCCCATCGTGCACTGTCTGCATGTGTACACGTGTGTCTGTGCACTTGTGTATACACCATGTGAGTTTACATGTATATGCATATGTGTGTATTTGCATGCATGTGTGCACATGTGTGTGTATGTACATGTGTTATGTGTGTGTCTGTGCATGTATGTCATTTTTAGCACAGTGTAAAAGTTTCTAAGTCTGAGAAGGTCTTGATGAGTTCAGTATTTCAAGTCTTTCCATTAACATTAGGGTTTTTTATCCTAACCCAACTGACCTATATTAGATGTGTTAGGAAAAATGAGAATTATAATTGAATAATATAATGGAAAGAGACCTAAACGATCAGAGGGGATAATTTCTATCCCATCTGGGGCAGTGATGGTTTACTTTTTGAGTGGATGACAACCACACGTGCAAACAAACATTTATTTCATTTTTATGAGCCATCTGCTCAGACTTCCAGAATATATCCTCTAAAAGTCATCACTCTGCTGGCCTCTAAGAAATCACTAGACCAAGAGTGGCTTTTGGGGTTACCCTCCTCACCTTGGCTCTCTTTCCCTAGCACAGTGGTCTATTCACTCAACTTACCCACATTTTGCTCACGTTTGCCTCTTGTGAATTGTTGTCTTAATTATCTCGTGCTGCTATAACAGAAATACCACAAGTGGGTGGTTTTAACAAACAGAAATTTATTTTCTCACAGTTTAGGAGGCTAGAAGTCTAAATTCAGGGCACAGGCTCTAGGGGAAGGCTTACTTTCTGTGTCAGCTCTGGAAGGTCTTTGTCTCTCCTGAGCTTCTGCTCCTGGGCAATCTTCATGTGGCTTGGCATCTCTCTTCTCCCATCTCTGCTTCTCTGCTAGCTTGCTTAATCTATTTTATATCCAAAAGAGATTGACTTGAAACAAACCCTACACTAATTCTATCTCATTAACATAACAAAGACAACCCATTCCCAAAAGGATTATAACCACAGGCATAAAGGTTAGGATTTAAAACACATATTTTGGAGGGACACACTTCAGTCCATTTGGCCACCCAGAATTCATGTCCTTGCTGCATTCAAAATTCATTCACCCCATCACATCATCCCAAAAGTCTTAAATCAACTCCAAGTCCAAAATCCCATCTTCTGAATCCTCTAAGTCAAATATGGATGAGACTTTAGGTGTATTCCATCCTGGGGCAAAATTCCCCTTCATCTGTGAACCTGTCTAGAATACAAATTATCTGTTTCCAAATGGTATAACAGGCACAGGGTAGACATTTCCATTACAAATGGAAGAAATTGGAGGGAAAGAACGGATAATACGCACCAAGCAAGTCCAAAACCCAGCAGAACAATTTAATTAGCTCTCAAGGCTTGAAAATAATCCTCTCTTGTCTGAAACCATCTGGACAACGGCCCTGCCTTAGACGTTGGGTGTTGGCCACGTCCTCTGGATTGGGTGGAGCCCTAGGCCCGGGGCTTCAGCTCCGCCTTCTAGGCTCACAGAGACAGCAATTCTGCTCCCTCGGCTTTGGGCAGCATCTTTCTCCTAGTCCATCTGAGTGGCAACCCCACCTGCTCAGCCCCCAGCAGGCCCTGTTCTTCTGCCCCTTGGGCATGGCAATCCCACACCCTCAGTTTTAGGCAGCAGCCCCATCCTGTTGGCCAAACTGAATGTCAGCCCCACACTTAGGAACTGAGTTGGTAAAGATCTGACTCTTAAAACCTACAAAGCCGTGGCTCCACCCTTTGACACCCCAGAGGTGTGGCTCTGCCCTTTGACACCCCAGAGACTGTGGTTCCACCCTTTGAGATCGAGGTAGCTCTGCTTCCTGTGTTCCTTCCAACAGTTCTGCTGATCTCTGAGCTGCTCCAGGGATGGTTCTTTTCTTTTCTTGGAGGACAACAGATGTAGCCCCTTTGGCCTGTTTCATGTCTGAAGAATTCCAAGAGGCATACAGCATTCTCTCCTTTCATTCTTTCTCTGTCCCCTTTAGTCAAAGCTGATGGGTTTTCTGCTGTGGTAGTTGGTTAGATCCAACTTAATCTCTTTAATGAAAGATTGTGTAGCTATGTCCTTGGTGAAAATTCTAGAACACATGTTCTTAGTTTGTACAACAGAATTTTCCAAATCTTTAAGGTTTGTTTTCATTCTGAACCGTTCATTTTTAAGTCCATCTCTTTCCTCTCACATTTTACTATAAATGGCAAGAAACCACATGCCCCCTTTAAGATCTTGCTTAGAAATCTCCTCAGCTAAATATCCAAG